CAGATCCGAGGGTAGGGCTCATCTCACTGAGCGGCCTGTCTGGTGATGACCGTTAGAAGCCAAAAGAAGACTATGCTGGGATTTCCCTCCTTTGATTGAGCTCTGGGCTTTGCTGCTGATGTCCCAACCCCATTCTTGGGACACCTGCTTTGATATCTCCAAAGTTTTGTGTATCTCTTTTCCTCATGGTCCCCCCCCCACTTCTTTTTAGGAAAGGTGAAAGAGCTGAGCTATGACTCCAAGGCCAAGCTACATCGCCTCCAGGAGTTCTGGATCAGCCGAGCCAGTGCTGAGCAACGCAAGGGCCGGGCAGGCCGGACTGGGCCCGGAGTCTGCTACCGCCTCTATGCTGAATCAGACTATGACAATTTTGCCCCTTATCCAGTGCCAGAGATCCAGCGGGTGGCACTGGATGCCCTGATTTTACAGGTAGGCTTGCTCCCTGGCGATTGCGATTCAAGGCTGTGTGCTGGGGGAGTCACGAGGAAGACTGCTGCTTCCTCCAGATGCCCCAAACTGCCCAGTAACTGCTCAAAGGGAAGGGCTGCAAGCTGTGTGGATCTATAATGCGCAGGGAGGGTTTGGCATCCCGATACAGAGTGCTGGCTGATGCCCAACTGCCCCACTGCTCCCCATTGCTGGGGAAGCGGAGGTCTTCAGAGAAGAACCACCACCACCTCCCTCTTGTTCAGGGTGGGAACCTGCTTTGTGAGAGGCCCCCTGTTCCACTCCTAGAATGGGGATGGGGTGGGGTAGGTGTGTGGATAGACAGTAGTTGAAGAGAAAAGCTGTTTCTTGTCTGGGCTCTGGAGACCCGAGTCCAGTTGGCCTAGTTCTGGGCCACAGAAATGTGTTCCAAGTGCCTGTCTGGTCCCTCTGGGTCTTCTTTAACAAACCTATGGATTTGCCAGTCTTCCCCTGGCCTTGAGAAGAAACTCCCCCCATCCCTTTTGCAGGTGGGAAGGACAGGCAGGAGAGCAGCAGAGACGAGTTTGGGCCCAAGAAGAGCAGGAGAGTCTGGCTCTTTTGGGGTCACCACTGACTTGCTTGCTGAAATGAAGCCACCCTTGTTCTGCCTCTGTTCCCAGATGAAGAGTATGGGCCTAGGCGATCCCCGAGCGTTCCCTTTCCTGGAGCCGCCCCCTCAGGCCAGCCTGGAGGCAGCCCTGGGCTACCTAAAGCATCAGGGTGCCCTGGACTCAGCAGAGGCCCTGACGCCCATTGGGACTCTCCTGGCTCAGCTGCCAGTTGATGTGGTGATTGGTGAGTGATGGGTGCAGCTGGTATCCCCGCGGATGAAGGCTTCTCCTCCTTCTGGCCACTTGAGGGATGCAGCATGCAGTTTCCTGGGCTGCTTCTAGACTCCTCGTCATCTCACAATCTGCCCAATGTGTCTTCCTGGAACTGACAGCTCCATGCAGGGATCACCTTGAATTCTGTGGGTTGGGCATTGTGCCTTCCTGCCCCCCCCCCCCCACGCAGAGGAAGGCAGCTGGAAGTTGTGGCCGGCAAGAGTGGCTGCCTGGATGGGCCCTGCCTGCTGCCTCATGTGATCTCTTCCTCTGCAGGGAAGATGCTGGTGTTGGGGACGCTCCTGGATCTGGCTGCCCCGACGCTCACCATTGCCGCTGTCCTCAGTGTGCCCTCTCCCTTCCTGAACAGGGCCGGTGGGCGCAGCAACCTGGACTGCCTGGCGGCCCGGCGAAGCCTGAGGAGCCTACTGGGAGACCCCCTGACCCTTCTGAACATCTTCAACGCCTGGGTCCAGGTAGGCAGGGCACAGAAAATGCCACAGATGCAGCATGAAGAGCTCGGCCTGCCGATCCTTCCCTTCCTGGACTACATCTTCCTCGAGAGCCAGGCAGGAGGCTCTCCCTGCAGGGTCCTTTTCCAGCCCAGGGCCCTTGTGCAAGGTGTTTTCTCTGGGTTCCCTGAGCATCCCTTTGCTCTTTCGGCTCTCTCGGAAGGAGGGTGCTCGGCTCACTGGATACTGACTCCCCATTTGAGGCGGCATCTTTCCAGCCAAGCTCCGTTCCTGCTCCAGGCAAGGGGACAGGAAGGTCTTGTTGGCACGTGTGCCCTTTACTTGGGGTACGGAGCTGGGCCTTGCTTTCCCTCTGAGACATGCGAACTGGGCTTCTCTTATGTCTGGCTGGTAGGAGAAAGCGGCCAATCGTCGAGGATCCCAGCGGTGGTGCCGGCGTCGGGGCCTGGAGGAGCATCGGCTCTACGAGGCAGCCAATCTGCGGCGCCAATTTCAGGTTGGTGTCAATTCAGAAGGGCCGGGAGTGAGGAGGGCCGCTAGGCAAATGAAGCTGGGCGCCTGCTGGTAGGAAGCTCCCGGTGTGTTGGTGGTGGTGATGTGGAAGAGTCGGGCTGTTCTTTGTCTCGCTCACAAGGGCACCATTTGTGGAGAGAAGAGAAGGTGGGCTGGAAGGGGCTTCCCTAGCCTTGAGCAAGGGTGGGCTATCCTTTCCTTTCCGTTGCTCTGCCAGGAATTGCTGCGAGACCACCAGCTGCTGGGCCCTCCTACTCAGCCTTGCACCACCTACGCCCGACAGAGGCGGCGGCGGGAACATCAAGAGCTGCGCAGATTAAAGCGGGAGCATGAGCAAAGGGGCGGGCGCCGGCGGAAGCTGTTGCGGCTGCAGGAGGAGGAGGAGGACCAGCAGGAAGGAGGAGGGTCCGGTTTATCTGGGGAAGAGGAGAAGGGCAGTTCCTGCCCAGACATCCAGGTGGGGCGAGTGAGAGTAGGGGGTCAGCTGACTTGCAGTTTCTCTTTAGCATCTCTCTCTCTCTTTCTCTCTGCCTCTCTCTGTCTTTTGGGGAGTGTCTTTTCCACTCACCTTGCCGTGGCGGCACTGACAGCCCTGCCCAGCCATCCCCCTTCTTTTGTGGCTGAAGGAGCAGCTTCATTCTGCAGCTGAGAATGGAGCTCTGACCTGCATTTCGCAGTCAGAGGCCTTTCCAGAAGGCCTCTGTAGCCGGCTGCAGAGGCCTTACAGAAAGGCCTCTGAGTGTGAAATGCAGGCCGGGGAATGCTGCAGGAGAAATGGGCTGGTGAGGAGAGGCAGGCTGCAATGGTAAGTGGGTAAGGGCCACATAGGGCCACATGGGGCAGCTCCACCCCACCCACCCCCATGCCCACCCTAGCTTGATTTTTAGGCATGTCCCTCGCCTAAAAACTAGGGGTTATTTTGGGAGTAAGTCTTAGACCCATCCCCAAAAATCAAGCTAGGGTTTATTTTCGGGGTAGGTCTTACTTTCGTGAACACACACACACACACACTTAAAGGTTTTTAGAAGGGAAGGTAACTAATACAAACTAATACAAAGAAGAAGAGAAGAAAAAGAAAGAGATCAAAGAGAAAGCCAAAAATCAAGAAAGAAAAAAAAACATACAGAGAGGTAATTTCTGATCTTCATAGCAATTATGCGTACAGTTATAAACTTACCACTCACTCTGTGGTTACAGGGGCGGCAGGATGGCTCAGTGGTTGAGACTAGAATTTCCATTGCTGAGCAACACGGTTGTTAAGCGAGTCGTGCCTGATTTTATGATCTTTTTTGCCACAGTTGTTGAATAAATCACACGGTTATTAAGTGAATCCAACTTCCCCCATTGGCTGGGAAGGCCCCGCAGCATTGCATTGCTTGGGATGCCCAATCTTTCCACCGGTGCATGCAAGGACCTCGCTGCGGAGAGCCAAGTTCCACTGTTAGTCTCTGAGTTCCAAAAGAAGAACTCCTTCATCAGTTCCTAAACTGAATCGGGGCTTGGACTTGAATCCAGAACTTTCCCGCTTTTTGCACGTCCACCAAATACTGGCGCTTTCTCTAGGGACGCTGCGGCCCCTTCTCCCTCGCCCTGTTTTCAGTGGCCGCTTCCATGGCAGCCGCTGGCACTCAGGCAGGCCGTGGTGTGTCGGCCCCCGAAAGGGCTGACGCCATGGCCCCGGTCACTTTGGGAAGCACAGGGAGGCCTCCCTGCCTCATCCACAGGAGGATGTTTGCAACATGGGGAGGATGGATTGGGGGCTTTGGGCCCGGGCCTTCTGGAGGGCCCCCCTGAAGCACTTTGGGGGTGAGGTCTTTCCTACGGACACCAGGGCTCCAGGCTGGAAGGGAGAGGGGGTGCATGTCTGGGTCAGTCTGTCTGGGTCTGCAGGCGGCTGGTTGTGTTGTTGTCGCCTCGCAGGATGTGAATTTCCAGCTGCGGCACGATATGGAGGAGCTGCAGGCAGCTGCCAGTGAAGCCCATGGGCTCTCAGCTAGCCAGCTGTCTCTGCTGCAGCTGGCGCTGGCCCAGGGCCTTTATCCTCAACTGGCTGTCCCTGACCCCTTCAACGAGAGCCGCAAGGATTCGGAACAGGCAAGTGTCCCTGCTGGCCACTCTATCGGACTGAGGGTCAAAGGGGGCTGGAGTCAGGCCCGGCATGGCAGGGGGAAGGTCTTTCCAGGCTTTCAAGAGGTTGGTGGTTATTTATTTATTGCTTCAGTCTGCATAGCCACCTATCTCACCTGCACGTGATCTGGGTGGCTTCCAGCTGTTAAGCACAAAACAAAAGAATACAATATATAAACCGTTAAAAGACCCCATGAAGCCATTCTTGTGTGCTCTCCAGATCTTCCACACAAGAGAGAAAGCCGGCCTTGTCTTGCACCCGACCAGTGTTTTTGCGGATGCCCCAGAGCTGCTGCATTCAGACTCCAAGGCTGGCAGGGACCCAGGTAAGGAGGAATTCCTTCAGCCCCAGGAGAATCTCCACTCCCGGTGGCCTCGAGAGAGATCTTGGCCACCTGAGAGAGTCGGGAGCTTTTTTCCGGCTTTCTAGTTTTTCTGGTATTGTTTCAAGGTTTTCTGTGCTGGAAATCATGTTTCCAGCCTGGCTGTGAAATAAAGTTATGACGGTGTGGGAAGAGGAAGGAAAACCCAGGTTTCCATTTCAGGATTATTTGGCAGGAGGAGTGAATAGAATAAGAATTAGAATAGAAATAGAAATAGAAATAATAGAAATAGAAATAGAGCAGAGCTGGAAGGGACCTTGGAGGTTTTCTAGTCCAGCCCCCTGCTCAAGCAGGAGAACCTATACCATCATAGACAAGTGACTGTCTAGCCTTTTTTTAAAAATCTCCAGTGATGGAGCACTCACGATTTCTGAAGGCAACTTCTGTTCCACTGGTTGATGGTTCTCACTGTCAGGAAGTTTCTCCTTAATTCCAGGTTGCTTCTCTCTTTGGTCAGTTTCCAACCATTGTTTCTTGTCCTGTGCTCTGGTGAATAACGTGACCCCCTCTTCTTTGTGGCAGCACCTCAAATACTGGAAACTGCTATCATGTCTCCCCCATTTCTTCTTTTCTTTAGCCAAACCCAAGTCCCGCAGCCGTTCTTCGTATGTTTTAGTCTCCAGGCCTTTGATCATCTTAGTTGCTCTTCTCTGAATTTTTTCCAAACTCTCAACATCTTTTTTGTGATATAGTGACCAAAATTGGCTGCAGTATTCCAGATGTGGTTGTGGGAAACAAGAAATGTTGCCCCTTCTCATTTCATAGGATAGGAATGAATAAACATAGAATAGGTTCCATATTAATGATTTAATGCTTTAATAATAATAATAATAATAATAATAATAATAATAATAATAATAATAATAATAATAATAATAATAATAGTAAAGTTGGAAGGGACCTTGAAGGTCATCTAGTCCAACCCCCTGCTCAGGCAGGAAACCCTATACCATTTCGGACAAATGGCTGTCCAGTCTCTTCTTAAAAACTTCCAGTGTTGGAGCATTCACCG